GATTAAAAATGGGATTAAAAATGGAATTAGAAATGGAATTAAAAATGGGATTAAAAATGGGATAAAAATGGGATTAAATGGGATTAAAAATTGAATTAAAAATGGGATTAAAAAATGGAATTAGAAATGGAATTAGAAATGGAATTAAAAATGGAATTAGAAATGGAATTAGAAATGGAATTAAAAATGGAATTAGAAATGGGATTAAAATGGAATTAAAATGGGATTAAATTGGATTAAAAATTGAATTAAAATGGGATTAAAAATGGAATTAGAAATGGAATTAAAAATGGGATTAAAAATGGGATTAAAAAGTTGGGATAAAATAATAAAAAATAAGAAATAAAAAACGGGAATAAAATGAAATAAAGTGAAATAAAATGGAATAAATGGAATAAAATGAATAAAACAAAATAATAAGATAAATAAAATAATGGAATAAGAAATAGAATAAAAGATGAAAAATATAAATATAAAAAATAATATTTAAAAAATGAAAAAGTAAAATATAAAAAATAGAATAATAAATGGAATAAAAGGAAATAAAAGGGAGTGAAATGAAATTAAATTAAATTAAATAAATAAAAACTGGAATAAAAACGAATAAAATGAAATAAAATGAAATAAAATTAAATAAAATTAAATAAAATTAAATAAAATTAAATAAAATTAAATAAAATTAAATGAAATAAGAAATAAAAAAATGGAATAAAAAATAAAATAAATAAAATAGGAAATAAAAAATGGAATAAAAAATGAAATGAAATAAAAGAATTAAAAAAAAGAAAAAGAAATAATTAAAAAATGGAAAAAAGAGATAAAAAAAATAGGAAACACAAAATAAAAAAGGAATAAAAATGAAATCAAAGAAAGAAAAAAATTGAAACAATAAAAAAGGGAATTAAAAATAATAAAAATAATAATAAAAATATAGAGATAAATAGGAATAAATGAAATAAAGACGCAAATAAATTAAATAAGAAACAATTTCAAAATAATGAAATCATGAAAATTATTAAAAAAAGGAATAAAAAATAAATTGAATTTAAAAAAGAAATAAAAAAAGACATCTAAAAAATAAATTTAAACGTGAAAATAAAGGAAACAGAAAAGAAATAAAAAGAAATATTAAAAATTAATTTCAAATAATTAAAAATCAATGAGATTAATTAAAAATAAAAATAAAAAATTGAAAAAACTTTTGGAATCTTCGAAAACTTCCCGGATTTTTTCCCATTTTTTTTTTTTTTTGGGGAACTCCCCTCCCCCCTCTCT